GCCACAAAGATAGGTATGTGGGTGGGGGAGCCCTGAGAGAACTCAGCAATGACCAGACCACACAGAGCCTTGCTAGAGGGAAAGACTTGATTCTAAACCCAGTTTCTTATTTTGAGAAGTGTCAAGTCTTCAGACAATTGAAAGTGTAGGTAGGACAGGGACACAGCATCCCTCCTTCACTCCAAAAACACAGTTTCCTAAAAAGAGCTCTTTTCCTTCATAACTGTTATCTTACTACAGAAATCAACAGTGGCATCAAAACACTACCTGACATCAAAGCCCCAGTAAATTTTCCCATGGTCTCAAATGTCTTTCATAGTGTCCCCATCCCCCAAAACACATACTTTGGTGCCCTGGAGTGTTGGAGCCATGAGCTGGCTCACACAATCACTCAGCACCTGGGGCAGGCATACGGGAAAGGACGTGGCCATTCCAGTGTTCTAGACTGCCTGAGGGCAGGTTATGGGACACAGGTGGGAGTGTGGAGACTCTCAGTGCCTGTCACTGTCTCACAGCCCCTGTGCCCTGGTCAGCTCTTCAGCTTGCCCGCACTGTCTGCAAAGCATAGGAAGCCACAGGAAAGATCATCTAACTCTATAACTGGGTCTAGCCTAGCCTAGCCTAGCCAAGAGCAGCCAGAAGGTCAGTGGCCCAGGAATTCTCTAGGTGACTATGCCACAGGGAGAGCTGAGATCAGGGTTTTCCTTCATCCCAGGCCTCCATAAAACACCAGCTTCAGCCTATATGCAACGGGCCAGAAACTGGCCGCAGTATTTACTTATGTAATCACTTTTACTGAAAAGGGAATCTAGCAATATGGTTGCAGAGAAAGATCCCACATCCCGTAATCCTCCCTCCAAAAAGAGTGGCGTGCCAGCAGTGATGGGGTAGCTCCGCCGCACTAGGGCCCACAAAGTCCAAAGACTAGCATGCTTTCATCATCTCCTGTCCTGGAGCCATGGGTGACAGACAAGCATAAGCTGATTCAACTGGACAGGAAGCAGAGGTCACTATCAGGAGCAACATGTGCTGGCCATGCCCTATCCAAATTGGGACTTTTCAGGGAGACTGAGGTTTGCCTTTTCATAATTTACTTAGATTTAAAAAAAAAAAAAAAAGCTATCTATTTTAATTGTCTGTCTGTCTATCTATCTAGATCAACGCAGGCAAAGCTGCCATCCTATGGCAACTCACAGCCTCCACTTAGCCCCAAATCACTCTTCATGGCAAACCCCAGCTCACCTCTGCACTGTCAAGCGTGGTGTTCAAATATTTTATGGCCTATGGGGCACTGTCTGCTCCTTCCCTATCCACTTACGTTCTGCCAGCCCATCCTTTCACATGGTCCTCTGCTCCTCATGTCCATTTCTACTCAGGAATAGCCCAGAGCTTCCCACCAAACCTACCCCTTGTGCCTCTGTCTCCCCACTCACACAGCAGCAGCCAAGCTCCCCTGCACAGTGGTCGTGGGCCAACAAAGACCATCAAGACACACTTTCCTATGCCTATTTACATCTGGGCACATCTGTGGGACTCAGAAATATGGGCTGGATTAAGATCAGGAAAACCTCACTAGAAAATAGTATGCTACCTTGGGAATGAAAGAGCTGGTATCTGCTACGAAACAGAACATACTCCATGAATAATTATTAAACAAGAAGACACTACTCAGCCACTGAAGCAGGATCTATGCGCCCTGGACACAGGTATAAATCCAACTGCAGGGGCTGGGGAGATGGCTCAGTAGAATAAGTGCTTGCCTAGCAAGTGCAAGGGCCTGAGTTCAGTCCCTGGTTCCAAAAAAAAAAAAGAAAAATCCAACTGCAATGCAATAGGTAACAGAGACAGCGCAATCACAGAGGTCTAAGTCATGTGTCACACAGTCATGAGTGTCTGATGAAACATTTAGCTAGGCCCCACCACTGCATACTAACCACAACCCAATGCAAGCAACTTGGGTCAAGAGTCATGATGGGACCTTGTATTTGGGGACCTAAGGAAAGAACACAGCTCCAAGAAGGATGCAACACAGGCTACCTATGGTAAAGGGATTCCTTTGTTCCAGACATGTTTTCTTTCCTCTCAAGGATGGGCCCAGCGCTCAGCAGACAGTACCTTTGTTTGCAATCAAAAGCCAGAGTATCAAAGAGGCTACATGCTACATGGCCTGACACTGGGCCCCCTCCCCCTCCTCTGATTTGCCTCCTGTCTGATCTCAGGTACTTCCACTTCCCTGGCCCCAAGATACATGTCATGGTACACTGCCAATGGGTCCTAAAGATGCATGTACCTGAACACGGTGTATTCTTATACCAAAAGGTATAAGATTCATGATCCAACAATGCTCACCTTGGACAAGTGTGCCTGTTAACTTTGGTATACCTTTGCCTAACCACCATTTCATCATGGCAGAAAGTGACAGCAGTCAACTTTTGGCTTGCTTTCTTTGGAAAAGTAAAGTTGATGTTAGTATGAATGATCACACTTTACAGGTCCAGAGTAACTGTGCTTCCTCAAGGGGCCAGGAAATAAAAACAGCAGGACTTCCCAGAATAAACCAAACATCTGCTTTACCAGAGCAGCCCTGCACAGGATGCCTCTCCACCTGCCTTGGATAAAGAAGAAACTGAAAAGTGTGATAAAGGCCTCTATAGACATTTAAACATCACCCCACTACATGGGAGAAAGCTGACATGATATTATGAAGCTTTAATAAGTAAATGGAAAACAAACTGCCAACAAGGACACAGAAATAATTCATTGAGTCAGAAAATCCATACTCTGCTCTAATGAATACTTAAAGTCAAAGTTCACCCAACTTTCCAGTGCTCACTTCACACTACCATTATGGTCAGTCAGGGTGCCTGTCCGTCACAAGACACCAGGATGCCTGGTGCTGTGCTGAGTCTGCACACAGGAAGCTTCTGGATCTGGGCTCCCAACCATGGCACATGTCAACAGTATGTTGTCATATCCGGGAATACAGACTCCTTGCCTCTTTTGCTAAAAACAAATACTTTCTATATACTATAAACCTATTATGAATGATTTTTTAACTATTCTCTAATGAAAAGCAGTGCATTTGTATTTCTGCCATAAGGTAGTTCTTATTGTGCCTAGAAACAGCAACAGAAACACCAAGGTGCTGTGAACAGCACTTGTGGGGAAGGGCTGAGGATGAGGCAGGTGTGGTCCACTTGAAGTGTTTGAGAACTATTGCATTCATGTCAATGTCTGCTGGAGTCTAGCAATGTGATAAATGACCAGGTACCTCAGCCAGCAGACCCACCTTGGAAAACAAGAATCAGAACAAGTAGGGTGGACTAATGCGCCTATCTTTGGAGGAAAAGCACATGTCTGGAAATGCTGCTCAGTCACAAGCAAGCTGATGGCCGGTGCGGGCCCACTCCCTCGATCCAGCTACCACTGAGGCTCAGGGGGCTCTGTGGGCCAGGGCAGGCATGGACAAGAAAGGGACACAAA